CAACACAACATTGGTGGCAATGATGTGCACTGGTACCAAGAGTGCCCAGGGATGGCCCCTGGACTCCTCACGTGTCATAAAAGCAATCAACCCTCAGTGGTCCCTGATTGATTCTCTGACTGCAAACCTGGAACTTTGGCCTTCCTGACCATCTCAGGACCCCAGGCTAAGGACAAGGCTGATTATCACTACCACTCCTTCTATGACAGCCTCGAAGCTCTCACGGTGTTCTAGGATGGGGAGTAACTGAGACAAGAACCTACTGTCTGCTGGCCCCAGGGCTTCTCTGCTCAGCCCCCATCTGGGGCCCACTCAGCTGCATCCTTTGTTCTCGATTATGGATCTCAGATCCTCTCCAAAAAATTTTGTCTTGAGAATATGTTGGGACCCTCTCAAATTCTGTCCCCAAACTCAGTCATTCTCAACAGCACAGTGTGTAATTCTCTCAAGTATAGCGATTAGCACTGAATGCCAAGGGCAGGCTGTCCTGGGGTCAGAGTTCAAGCAGTACATTAGTTTGTGAGGCCTCAGAGGCAAATGCCACTGCCCTGGCCCTTTCACTCACAGATGCTCAATTTTTCTGGGTTCTGGGGCTGGAAGGAGCAGCACCTTTGTTTACAGGTGCCTGTCTTCTGGTTGTGTTCAGAGCCATGTGCTCTTTATGCCCACATTTCTTTTAAATGGCTGTCATAGAAGGAGTGGTAGTGATAATCAGCCTTGTCCTTAGTCTGGAGTCCCTAAAAGGTCAGGGAGGACAGGGAGGCATCATTCCTCTCAGCTCAGGGGCTCTTCCTTATTACCTCATTCAAACTGCCTTACCTCCATAAAGGCCCAAGCTTTCAAAAAAGCTACACACTGGCTGCTTAGGTAGATACATAAGCAATTTAGCCCAGCTCTGTCAGACTTCTAGAATGTCAGCTCTGCAGAGACTGTCCATCCAACCATGTGATAAATACATTTCATGTCCCCGGATCTAGGTGTTGTGTGGGGTCTAGTGTGCAAAGTAGGTCAGAAAGGAAGGAACTGTCTCCTGGAAGCTGACACTGACTCATAAAAATATCTACAGAAAGAACACATACTTCAGGAAAATGAAGAGAGATCAGTGTGGGTAGCACTGATGGTAGCAGGGAGTAACTGACCAGGAAGATCCTGTCTGATGAAGGTCATGAGGTCAGCACTGCATATGAAATGAATGAGGAGGAGCTGAGAGGCGGGGCTGGAGGAAAGTCTGCTTGTGATATAAATGTCGACTACAAGGCCATGGATGAGGACAGGAGTAGGTGAGGTGGAGAAGGTGGTCAGAATATGCCTGTCTTATCCCCCCTGGGGGGTGATTTCTCGCTTTCTGTCTGTATGTCTCTCTCTGTCTGTCTGGCGAGCGCACACGCCCTATAGCGAAAACCTCACCAAAAAAAAAAAGAATATGCCTGTGTCAGGGGCATGAGATGCTGAAGAAGGGGGTGTAGGGGAGAAAGGCCCAGGCTAAGCTTTCAGGGACTGCATAGGATGTGTGTGAGCTGAGGCCAAATAAAATGGTGACAGTGATCCCATCTGGTTAAGTCAGCACCACTTGGTAACTCATGAACCACACAAAATAGGAATATATACACTGAAGATGGTGAGTATAGCAATCTCAAATGCAAACCAGTGAGGCCCTGGCTGAAGGAAAACCATTTAACAAAAATCAACACTCTTTGATCACAAAACTAAATAAATAACTAGAAATTCTCAATAAATTTAAACTAGAAGGAAACTACCTCTACATAATAAAGAACAGATATGAAAAACCTAGAGCTTACAGCATGTACAAAAGTGAAAGACTATAGTGTTTTACTCTAAAGGAAGGAACAAGATCCACATTTTCATCACTTTTACTCAGCAAAGTACTGGAAGATCTAACAGAGCAAGAGAGAAGAAAAGAAAAAGAAAAACAAAAGTAAATCAAAATAGAAAAAAAATGAAGTAAAATGATACTTGCTTTCAAATAAGACTGTCAGTGGGACCAGCAGGTGGTGTGGTGTTAAAGGGTGCTGCGCTGGACCCCCACATGGCCGAGTGCAGTATGAGTCCTGGATATGGCGGCTCTCTCTCTCTCTGTCTCTCTCTCTCTCTCTCTCACTGTGCCCCTCTGTAGCCAAATGTTAAAAATAAAGTTAAATAAATAAAGTTAAATAAAATAATTCTTAAGAAAAAGTCTGTCAATGTAGAAACCACTAAAAATACCCTTCAAATACTGTCATAACTAATAAATAAATTGAGAAATTGTTCAAAATTAGCAGAAATGAATACTTTTCACTTCTATACTTGAACCATAGACAATGAAACTGATATTAAGAAAACAATCGAACTAATGACAGCACCCAGCCCAGAATAACAAAAATATTTAGGAGTAAACACAACTAAGAAGATGAAGCATTCCTCCATTTTAAACTACAAAACATTTCTAAAAGAAATTTTAAAAATAAACAAACTAAGGGAATAGCAACACTTTTGTTTAACCATATCCATAATCAAGCTACCTTCAGTTTCAACCAAATGCTCATGGATTAGAAGAATAAATATGGGTGAACAAGCAGGTGGTGTGGAGGTTAAGACAATGGATCCCACATGACTGAGTCTGTGGTTCAAATCTTAGACCCAGCAGCTTGAAAATCATGCTAGGTGTGTGTGTATGTGTGCCCAAAACCCTAAGAGAAGACTGGAGGAGAAGAGATTTCAGCATGGTCATCCCCTCCACCCCCAGGAGGTGATTTCTCATGTCCTCCTTCTCTGTAACAGATGCATGCATCTTATGGCAAACAAACAAACAAACAAAAAAACAGTTAAAATATCACTACTTCCGAAAGCAATCTACAGATTCATTGAAATCACTATTGACATTCCAATGATGTTATTTGGTAAAAATACTAGGTCAGGAACATCATGATACATTTTACCTGTTTTTCTACACAAAAATGCATCATAACTTTCCCAACAATCAATTAGAATTATACATACTAAAATTCATATAGAATTCAAATAATTAATGATCCTGAACAGCTAAAACTATTTTATAACAAAAGAACCAAGTGGAAGGTCTCACCATTTCTGATTTCAGATCATACTACAAAGCTACAATACTGAAAACAGAGTGGCTCTGGCATATGGAGAGATGTACATACAGGCAATGGCACCGAGAGCCCAGGAATAAACCCTTACAGTCTAATCATTTTCAGCCTGGCAGCTAAGACCATTCACTATGGAAAGGCCAGTATTTTCAAAAAATAATGTTGAGGGACCAGCAGTTCGCGTAATGGCTATGTTGCTGGACTCCCATGTAGTTGACCACAGTTGGGGTCCTGGACACAGTGGCTTAAACTCACAGCGGGTCTCCTTCAGGGCAGTGACAGTGTTGGGAACTAGGTAGAGGTGGTGGTTCACAACAGACTACTGAGTTGTACACTCTCAATGGTTTATTTTAAGTTATATGAATTTCAACTCACTAAGAAAAATGAG